TGCTTGTTGTATACTAAACTATTTGCACGATAAATTTGATTCCAAAGCATTATTGTATTATTAAAAGTAATGACAGTACAAAATATTACAGTAAAATGAAACAGTCAAATCCTATTATGGAGATGTTTGAATGTTAAATATTTTTGTATTATAATATAGTGGAGAATAAAATGAACATGAAAAAATGTACAAGTTTCATTTTTATTTTGTTTGAGGTACATTGGTGGAACAATGACTGTACAGTTGCAAGTTAATGATTATAAAAGAAATGTTAACACTAACAATAATCATGATTATCTCCATTGATGTACTCTACAGTACTTACAAAATATTATGAATCTAATTTGATATTATTAAAAACGAAAGTGTTCAAATTAACGAAGCGTCTAACATTGAATCAAAGAAAACGTAAAGATTTTTCTCAAGAAATTTACTATCTCCCGATTTTTAACAGTGAATCAATCAAAGCTATAAGCGATAAGTCCGCACCAGGCCCTGACGATGTTACAGTTAGTCACCTTAAACACAGCTTTAGCTCTAATCTTCCTGACTGACCCATCTCGACCAACTAATTACCGCTCTATTATAATTTCCAGCAGAATGTCTAAGGTCTTTGAAAAATACTTTTTTAAAACAATGTTGCCAGTGGCCTAACGCCCGTGAACTCTCGAGGGGAGCAGCCCCGGTCCCATACTCAAAGGGGGCCCCTCCTATAACTAGCTCTTTACTACCAGGCCTTAACAGTGGCGTGACGCTTGTACATTCTGGAAGAAGTCCCAGTCCAAATGGGCCCAGGACAAACCAGGAGCTTCTCTTACTACCAACCAGTACCCTATGCTACAACTCCTCGACAATACAGTAAAGACCTGCTATACATTTAAAAAAAAAACCAAACAGACAAAAATCGCACAAACACACTCTTTGACAGATTTCTTAGAAGGGGGCCCCTCGTACAACGACCTAGCATTTTACTATGGCGCTTTGATCAGGTTCCAAGTCCAAATAAGCCCTTACTAGCACTCTAAGACGACGCTTTTGACAATAAGGTAGTACGACGGTATATTTTCTTTTAATTTTGAAAAATATATGGGGCCCCGACTGGCTGCATACCCACCCACCCACACACACACACACACACACACACTAGAATCCGCCTCATAGCATAAACATAATTCGTTTATATCGAAGTGACACTGTATTAAAACAATCAATCAATTTGGTTACCTACCGTCTTTATATTGGTATTTTCAAACCTATTAGACGACCCAAAGAAAAAGTGATTTAATTAAAAATGTGTGTGCAAAATATTAGTTGATTATATTTTTGAATAGTCACGCGAAATTTGTTGAAATTGTCTACTTTACTGATATGCAAGGGGCCCCTAACATTTGTTCTCGACAACATTATTTACTTCTTCTCGACGGGAGATATGCTCCCCTTCCCCTAGACACCACCTCTCCTCACGAGCGTAGCGAAGGTCTAATCGAGGACCTATAGTCTATTCTATGCTGGGAGTCGCAAAACCATAAACTTGGAACCCATAGTCCAAGAGGAGGATTTATGAGATGGGTACCCTAGTGCCGGATCAACACTTGGCTCACATCCATTATATTATTAAATGTTTAGGCCTAATAACAGAACAAACAGGGTATAAGCACCAATTTTTGAAAAGACATTTTCAAGCATAAACAGTGGCATAACGCTGGGGCCAGCCCAGTGGCGTAGAAAAATATTTTTCATTGGTGGGGGGGGGGGGTGATTGGGTTGAGGGAAAGAGAAAGAAGAGGAAAAGAAAAGGAAAGAAAAAGAATAGAGAAAAATAAAGAAAGAATAAAAAGGAAATTAGAATTAAAAACACAAAAATATTTTGCGGGCTTGGCGCGCATTTTTTTAGGGCTTTTTTAGTTTTATCCTATTAAGTTATTTAAACACATAATAGTCCCAAACTCAAGAAGGACAAATTTAAGATAGATCATTTTAACCTAAAAGAACGGCCTCAATGTGTATAGATGGTGAATGAGGATTGTTGTTGTTGTTTGTTGTTGTTATTATTATTATTATTATGTTGTAATGATGTTGTTTGTACTGTTCTTTAATGTTATTAAAGAGGGTCCTGAATATCAATTAAACTACTGGGCTAAACTAGAAGGGTTACCCTCTATAAAAATTTAAAAAAAATAAAAAATAAAAAAATAAATACACACTCTGACCCAAGACCCCTGTTACGCACCTGGTGTTAGCACCAATATGTGCCCTTGTGACAGGAGATGTGACCCACTCTGAAGCTGGAAACCTTGTTTTTGCAAAATAAATTGATGAAATTTGCTATTATAGGCCTAATCAATAAATTCCTCATCAACCGATATAACCTTATTAAACATTCTTGGAATTGACATAACATTACTGAATAATATGTCGTACACACCTTTCAGTGTGAAATGTGGCTCTCTTTGCCAGCACATCTAACATCTAAGGAAAGAAGAGCTTAGATTGGTACCAGATAAAATAATTTTGTTATCAACATTAATACATTATGCTAATTTTCATCTTTGTAAGCGCATAAGACAGTGCAAATTATTTCATGATAAATTAAGGGTTAACGCAAGAGGTCGCTGTTGCTTGCTAAATTCAGTAAAGAAACTTCATTAACACTGTAATTTGAGAAATAGGTGACTTTCATTTTAATTAGAACAAAATGGAATTTACTGAAATGTATCTTTAAATAACAATAATTAATATAGATTGCTACTGTACATCATGATACAGTGCTGTGTAATGATTTCACTAGGATCACAAACAATAATTAATTAAAATTTATATTGTGATATTTTTGTTGTAAGAATTCAGATAATGGTGTAGTTTACTGATATACGCCAGTTCTTGTTGATATAAAATACTGTGATAAAAATCACCTATTTCTTATTAATGTGGAGTGGATATATAATTGGCAGATATTTAAATGCTAGTTGCTAGTTAACATAGCATTTGTGTGGTTATTAGTGCAGGGCCACTTTGTTAAATGCATTGAATTTATCTTTATTTTGATGAGTTTTTTTTATACTTGAATGACAACAAAAGTAACGATCTTATAGAAAATAGCAATATTTGAATCATGTGAAATATGTAGCACTTAAAAGACCAATTGTTATTAATATTAACCATAAGCTGTCATGTAAAAGCTAAAGGGTATACTTGACAGATATTGCAAATATTTTAGTAGTGCTATTGACTAGTCCATTCCTACAAATCACAAGGCACTCAGTGGAAGGTATAAGTCCTTGCGAAATGATCGCAAGCATCTTTTCCACAGCAAAGGCTTATTTAACCAGAAATCCTGTTTTTGTGAAGGGTTTCTTGTGTTCGTTAAAGTACACACGATTCATTCAAATGCACACTGGGCCTATGGTGTAATCCTTATCTGAGAAGACTTAATTGTACCATGGAGGAATTAGTTTGTACCACCTAAACTACAGTGTGAGTGAGGGTCTCAAATCGGGGCTGCTGATATTAAAGCTTTATGTTGTGGTGCCCATGCACTTTTCTGCTGAGCGGTACTCAGCTCACGAGCTTGTACACATTTCTTCGTTGGCAGTTGTGTCTGTAAAAGTTATGTTATATTTACAGTAGCTGATTATCAAGAACAGTGTCTTTGTATATTTCTAAAACTTAAGCACACTTTTATTACAAATTTATATTTACAATATTTAACTGTTTTTAGCGGTATTCTGTTTTTTTTTTTGTAGGCAATGTAGAAATTGGTATTAGATAATGTAAGATATAGGCCTACATAATGTTGACATTTACTTTTGACATGAAAATCATATTGCAATATACCGTACACTGTGTTGTGACTTTGAACAATAAATTTAGTATTTAAATTGCTTTGAGATTATTATTTAATTAGTGAGTTTGAGAGGCGAGTTTGGCGGCTCGGACAAGTTGGTAAAGGGAACTAAGGTGTTGTCAAATTCTATAGGCCTAGATAACCTGCGTATTTATCATCGTATATAGTAATTTTAACCCCTATTACACAGGGATAGCTGCAAAATAACAAGTTTTGCGATTCGACTAATTTTTGTATAAAAATGATTAACTAAATTGAACATTAAAGCACAAAAACAAAAAGTATATAATAGTTTTTATTATATAATGATTACCGGGTACAATATAAAATTATAACTGAGACTTTTAATATAATTTAGCCTTTTGTATTGGACTGAACATAAACCAAATTCAGCCTAAGTTGGATTTGGCTATTTGGCTAAGTCTTAAACACCAATGTATTATAACAAACTGCTTATTCTTTGACTATGGTATAAAATATCAGGTATACAATAGCTATTTATCTCAATTGATTTGAGAAGGATATACGTCTAGGGAGGCGCACTGAGCGCACCAATAGACAATAGTGGGCTTGGTCGCACCTCCACCGACATAGTTTATGAAAGGCGCTCTGTAAATGTTAACTGTATATTAGCATATAAAGCATTGACTGGCCAGTAAATAACGTATACAGTACTTTCAAAAGTAGTCTGTCTGTTTTAAGTTATTTCAACAAATAAGGATAAAATTAAATATCTTTACTTCAGGAATATTTACCAAACTATATAAATACGTAAATCCATGAAATAAAACAGATAATTATAATGATGACAAAGTTATGTCGGAAAGGAAAATAGCATTGCATAGAAAATGAGAAAGTTCGACATGGCCCTATTAGTATATAGAAAATAAATGTTGGACGGTAAAATAATATATAAATTCATAAAAATGTTGACATCGGTCTAATAAAATATTACAATAATAATATTGATAATCCCAAGTATATACCTATTATTAATATTAGCGAATGTTAAGTCTGAGATAAAATAAGCCAGTCCAGTTTCGAGAAGTGGTCCTCAAGAACTTTTCACCCGTAGTAACTAAAATATATATTCATACAATTTATAGCTCGATACAAGATGACTCCAACATTGGCAGCCGTTTTCCGCGTGTTTTTTTTTTTTTTTAGTTAATCTGAATTTAAGACTCGATACAAATAGGCAATAGGAGGACCTCTATCTCTGATAACTGTCAGATAGGTTAAAGGTAAATTCGTATTTCAGCCGCCCTAACAATATTTAAGAAAATGTTGAAAACTGTATTGTTTCCTTGTGATTTTGTTAGACTAGGACCGACACCAACATTATTCGATTACCTGTTAATTGTCCTGGGCGGGCATTGCGATTTAAATTGCCGGGGAACGGTGCTGGGGAACGGCGCTGTGGTGTTTGATTTCATCTGCGTTGTTTCACACTTTATTTTTTTTCTTATTTATAAATAAATTTAAAAAAAATAAAAAACGAAAAGCGCCCTGAACTTCACGAAAAAGCTCTAACGATCCCCAAAAAAGCCAACATAAATAGCAGGCTAATTAACCTAGTTTCAGTATATACATTTTAAAAATACTTTTAAAAATACTAAATTGATTAAAATAGGAAATACATTTTAAAATCGTAAATACATTTCAAAGTAGTTGCAAGACGGTCACTAAGACTTCTCTTAAAATGTTCTAATTTGGTTTAGGAATGTCCTAATAGAATGTGCATCTAAAAGCCGCCCATTATAATTACTATAGTAGGTTCTGCATATGAAATAGGCCTACTGATGGCTGATTGCATGTTTAGGGAGGAGGATGTATCCCGATGGATGATTCGAAATTTAAGTTATGATGATAAAGAGTGATGACAATTTTACGTTTATCTTCGCGAGAGTGGCTGTGGTTTGTAAATGTTACGTTCTTCTCGTCTTAACGATGGACGGGAAAGAAGTTTTGAAGGTTTCCTAGCTATCATGGGCTAATAACAAAATATGGGCATACTGTAAGTGGTTGAAGACTGGTATCGGCAAATGTATGTGTTCGAAAGCCATGTAAATATTGCCATAAGCGTGGTACAGTAACATTTTTACTACTATATTTTTATTTTCAGATATGTCTAATGAAAATATTTTATTAAACGCTTCTTGAAATAGTATAATGGCTTTGCATCGATGTGAGGTTGGGCCTATCATATCAAATAGATATTTTATAATTACATGGGTGCGATTATTAAAAGAATGCTCTGTCAGCATAATGAGTTCTTGGAATGACTAGTGGTCATTTCGGAAGCTGAACGAAATATTTAATTACAAGGGTTTGTATCACTTTTTGCGGGGTTTGTTTTATTCTATCTTATGCATATGTTAGAATTCCACGAGATAAATAATTCATCCAGTTTCACACCTCAAAGCTTCCACGCTGTTTATCTCTTCTTTTAAAACTTGGCTGGTAAATCAGACTCAACCATTTTTGTATGTAAAGAATTGTTCCTTTTTAATAATTTTATTCTTTTCTTTACACTTTCTAATATATATTTCACACGAATGATGAAATATTTAGTTATGTACATATATTTCAGTTTTACAATTTAACATAGGCCTATTCATAAATTATTATATTAAAAGAAAACACAGTTCCTATTGAAAATGGACGTGCTCAATACTCAGCTTTATTCTTCCGTGCATTGAAAGAATTCATTTTTCGTCAATCGTTGACCAGGTAAGTACTCTTTTAATTTGACTCTTATATTAGGGAGGCCTATAATTAACTTTTTCCTCCATGGTATAGCCAGGAGTTATACAACAATTATGTGTAATCATTGTATAATTTTTATTTTTTTTTTATACTACAGTATAGCCTATTCTATATTGTATTGTAGTCAAATATTACTTTTGATTAATTTTACTTAATATTGTATTTTTATTTTAGTTTTTAATTAAGTTTTACTATGGTTTATCTTTCATCTTTCTTTTCATGTAAACTAGGTAGGTTTATACATATTAATAAACATATAATGTAGGTCTACCGAATTTATTTCTAATAAGACCTAATGTAAATTGTATATAATAAGGGCCTATATTATGTTATTCTAAATAAATTAACAAATTAAAATATAGGCCTAATTGTGTAAATTGAACAAAGGCTCGAATTCAAAACCTGAATATCTAAGAATGAATCTGAACAAACGGATATTTTTTTTAAATTCTTAAATCTTAACGTTGTGTTTTCCCAAATTGTTTTTCTTTGTCGATTTTCTGACGGTAAGTATTCTCTGTAATATATCAACAACCCTTTTGCGAGCAACGGTGGATCCTTATAGCGAGTTTACATATAAACAAAATAAATTAATCAGCATTAATATTCTGTTTATTTAAAATGCCAACACCCAAGAGGAGGTACTAAGGCCTAATCCCATTGTCACTAAATAACTACCAGGCTTAAAAACAAAATAGGACTTTCTAGGCCAAAATTTCAAAGTGCTATTCAAAAATTGCAAAAGCCAAGGAATGGGGATTTCTTTTATGAGACACTATGCATGTGGTATACAGATTCAGAAAAACCACAAATAAATGTTCCTGTAATTTTTTCCTGCTAATTTTCTACTGCACCCAGACTATTAATACATTAATCAACATTAACATTTTGTTTATTTAAAGTGCCCACCCAAGAAGAGGTACTTAGGCCAAATCACATTGTCACTAAATAATTACCAGGCTTATAAACATTAAAAAAGAACTATACAAGTGAATAATTAATTACAGAATTAACATTATAAAATTGGAAATTTTTAAAATTTTAAAGATATTATGGCATATTATAAACATTACAAAATGGTAGCATCCCTGAATGATATAGAATAAAAATGACTTTTCCTCACTCATTCATTCTAATTTTTATTACATGACCATGGAGGTTTACAACAATATTCAGCTTTTAATACATGCATTCAGACTTTTGCTGTATTAAATTAATGACATTTTTTGTGAATTTTCTATTAAACTTTGTACTGTTAAATTCATTAATGATCCCGGTGAGATGTAGAATTTGCTAAACTAATTATCTCCATTGATCGTTCCAACAGGTTAGAAACTGACACTGATTTATGAAGAGATAACAGTCCTTGGAAGAAAGACGCGCGAAAAGTAGGCATAAACAGCCTTACCACTGACCATAGCTTATTCTCGGATCATCGACACACTGTACAGCACTTGCAAATAACCCAGTATATTCGGGGAATTTCATACCAAGATGAATGATAACGATGATGATGGAGTGGCGGGTGGATCATTCTTGAACTGGCATCCAAGTGAAGGTGAAGCGGACACACAAAGCTCATCCTGGGTTGACTTGCTGGAATACGCAACGGAAACAGGTCCTCTGTACGATGGAGCCAGAATCACTGTGGTTGATAGCATCGGACTTTTGCTTGGATTTTGTCTGGAGCATAATGCTACTAACCGAGTTTTATCAAGCCTGCTTGAGATCATCAGACTTCACATGCCCAAAACCAGCAGAACAATGGGAGATCGCCGGGAACATCACCTCAAATCTCTTTATTATCTGAGAAAGATTTTTGAGTTTAAACAAGAGGATGCATTTAAGAAGCATTACATATGCGGGAAGTGCAACACGGTATGTGAGAACCTAGATGTAGCGGTATGCGAGTGTTGTAAAGCGGATGTAGATAAGTCAGAATATTTCGTCACGCTAGATGTTGCCAGTCAACTCGAGGAATTGTTTAAAGGTTAGTTACAATTTTAGTTCAATTTATTCTTAGTAACAATGTACAAATATATGCAACATCAACAATGCTAGCTGAAAAATCGAAATTAAAATTGTTCATTTAAAATGAGTTTTCCTACTTTCAAGTATTCAAACTGTATTATATTTTGTTATCATTTTGTTTAGTTAAGTGTTATTACTATGTATGTTGTCTATATATAGTTAATAGAACGCACCGTCATATGACGTGTTGCCGCTGATCAAAAAGCGTTGTTCAATAAAGTGATTGATTGATTGATTGAGTGTGAACATAGCCCAAGTTTATCACTTTAATCCCTTTCATTGTTTATCAAACCTTAATCAGACCCAACTAATCGAACCCTTTGAATTACCGCTCAGTCTGTCTGCGCATGCTCAGCTTATCTCAATCAATTGTATTTCCAGGTTTTTTTTTTAGTCATTAGGCAATTTTATCTGAAGAGTGTCACACCACGTGTGTGGTACGAAACTAAGTAGTAATAGGCCTAAAATGTCTAAACAAAGCTGCTTTTTATTTATTTTATATATCCGATCTGGTCTACCATTGCGCACTCTGCTTGTAATACTTGATATATATCTG